TACGCGCTATGCTATGCTACGCTATGCCGTACGCGCTATACTATGCCGTACGGCCGCGTTGGTCATGGGGTACATATTGCGATAGTGGTTTATATCGTATGGATTTGGCTTCGGGGCTGTGAGGCGTCCCCTGGGTCGTGCTGTCGTGTGGGCATGGGTGTTTTTCGGTGGGTCCGTTGCACAAAGCGCGCGTTGAATCCCGCGGCTGATTGTACGTTGAATTGCATGTCGAATTGCGCGTTTAGAGCTATGCGAATCGCGCTGTATGAAGCGTGTACGGCATTCATTCCGACGCGGAATCGCGTTTTGAAACGCGCATCAAATTATGCGCTAAAGCGCGCGTTGAATTCCGCGGCTAATTGTACATTGAATTGTGCATCGAAATGCGCATTTAGAGCTGTGTGAATCGTGCTGTATGAAGCGCGTACGGCATTCATATGAAGTGCGCATCGAATTATGCGCTAAAGTGCGCGTTGAATTCCGCGGCTAATTGTACGTTGAATTGCGCGTCGAATTGCGTGTTTAGAGCTGTGCGAATCGCGCTGTATGAAGCGCGTACGGCATTCATTCCGACGCGGAAGCGCGTTTTGAAGCGCGCATCGAATTGTGCAACAAAGCGCGCGTTGAATCCCGCGGCTGATTGTACGTTGAATTGCATGTCGAATTGCGCGATTAGAGCTATGCGAATCGCGCTGTATGAAGCGTGTACGGCATTCATTCCGACGCGGAATCGCGTTTTGAAACGCGCATCANATTATGCGCTAAAGCGCGCGTTGAATTCCGCGGCTAATTGTACATTGAACTGTGCATCGAATTGCGCATTTAGAGCTGTGTGAATCGTGCTGTATGAAGCGCGTACGGCATTCATATGAAGTGCGCATCGAATTATGCGCATTGAATTCCGCAGCTAATTGTACGTTGAATTGCGTGTCGAATTGCGCAATTAAAGCTGTGCGAATCGCGCTGTATGAAGCGCGTACGACATTCATTTCGACGCGGAAGCGCGTTTTGAAGCGCGCATCGAATTATGCGCTAAAGCGCGCGTTGAATTCCGCAGCTAATTGTACGTTGAATTGCGTGTCGAATTGCGCGTCATGTGCATATGTGCTTATGTGCATATGTGCATATGAAGCATATCTGCATATGTGCATATGTGCATATGAAGCATATATGAAGCATACGAAGCATATGAAGCATACGAAGAAAAAAAGAAAAAAAGCGGCGCGCAAAAAAAAAAGCGGCGCGCTCAGGATTGAACCGACGACTTGGTGGACAGACGGAGGGACAGACGGACTAGAGCGCGCTGTTCGCGCGAGTGGGCCGTAGCTCCGTCGCTGCGTGCGTTGCACGGCGCTTAAGGGCGTACGGCACAGCACAGCGCGTACGGCATAGCGCATACGACGCGTACGGCGTGTATGTCATAGCGTGTACATGTACACTGTGCAGTGTCATGCAGCCGCTGCTGTGCCGTCACCTGCGGGTCGGCACGTGCAGCTGCGTGCTGTGCAGTGTTACGCACTAGAGCGCGCTGTTCGCGCGAGTGGGCCGTAGCTCCGTCGCTGCGTGCGTTGCACGGCGCTTAAGGGCGTACGGCACAGCACAGCGCGTACGGCATAGCGCATACGACGCGTACGGCGTGTATGTCATAGCGTGTACACGTACACTGTGCAGTGTCATGCAGCCGCCGCTGTGCCGTCACCTGCGGGTCGGCACGTGCAGCTGTGTGCTGTGCAGTGTTACGCACCGGCGGAAGAAAATTAAGCTTGCGGAGCCTAGCACGCAAATTTAGCCGTACGCGCTATGCTATGCCGTACGCGCTGCCGTACGCGCTATGTTATGCCGTACGCGCTACGCTATGCTACACTATGCCGTACACGCTATGCTATGCCGTACACACTATGCTATGCTACACTATGCCGTACGCGCTATGCTATGCCGTACGCGCTATGCTATGCCGTACGCGCTATGCTATGCCACGCTATGCCGTACGCGCTATGCTATGCCGTACGCGCTATGCTATGCTACGTTATGCCGTACGCGCTATGCTATGCTACGCTATGCCGTACGCGCTATGCTATGCCGTACACGCTATGCTATGCTATGCTACGCCGTACACGCTATGCTATGCTATGCTATGCCGTACGCACTATGCTATGCCGTACGCGCTATGCTATGCCGTACGCGCTATGCTATGCCGTACGCGCTATGCTATGCTACGCTATGCCGTACGCGCTATGCTATGCCGTACACGCTATGCTATGCTACGCTATGCCGTACGCGCTATGCTATGCTACGCTATGCCGTACGCGCTATGCTATGCTACGCTATGCCGTACGCGCTATGCTATGCCGTACGGCCGCGTTGGTCATGGGGTACATATTGCGATAGTGGTTTCTATCGTATGGATTTGGCTTCGGGGCTGTGAGGCGTCCCCTGGGTCGTGCTGTCGTGTGGGCATGGGTGTTTTTCGGTGGGTCCGTTGCACAAAGCGCGCGTTGAATCCCGCGGCTGATTGTACGTTGAATTGCATGTCGAATTGCGCGTTTAGAGCTATGCGAATCGCGCTGTATGAAGCGTGTACGGCATTCATTCCGACGCGGAATCGCGTTTTGAAACGCGCATCAAATTATGCGCTAAAGCGCGCGTTGAATTCCGCGGCTAATTGTACATTGAATTGTGCATCGAAATGCGCATTTAGAGCTGTGTGAATCGTGCTGTATGAAGCGCGTACGGCATTCATATGAAGTGCGCATCTAATTATGCGCTAAAGTGCGCGTTGAATTCCGCGGCTAATTGTACGTTGAATTGCGCGTCGAATTGCGTGTTTAGAGCTGTGCGAATCGCGCTGTATGAAGCGCGTACGGCATTCATTCTGACGCGGAAGCGCGTTTTGAAGCGCGCATCGAATTGTGCAACAAAGCGCGCGTTGAATCCCGCGGCTGATTGTACGTTGAATTGCATGTCGAATTGCGCGATTTGAGCTATGCGAATCGCGCTGTATGAAGCGTGTACGGCATTCATTCCGACGCGGAAGCGCGTTTTGAGGCGTGCATCAAATAATGCGGTAAAGCGCGCGTTGAATTCCGCGGCTAATTGTACATTGAACTGTGCATCGAATTGCGCATTTAGAGCTGTGCGAATCGTGCTGTATGAAGCGCGTACGGCATTCATTTCGACGCGGAAGCGCGTTTTGAAGCGCGCATCGAATTATGCGCTAAAGCGCGCGTTGAATTCCGCAGCTAAGTGTACGTTGAATTGCGTGTCGAATTGCGCGTTTAGAGCTGTGCGAATCGCGCTGTATGAAGCGCGTACGACATTCATTTCGACGCGGAAGCGCGTTTTGAAGGGCGCATCGAATTATGCGCTAAAGAGCGCGTTGAATTCCGCAGCTAATTGTACGTTGAATTGCGTGTCGAATTGCGCGTCATGTGCTAATGAGCATATGTGCATATGTGCATATGTGCATATGTGCATATGAAGCATATGTGCATATGTGCATATGTGCATATGAAGCATATATGAAGCATATGAAGCATATGAAGCATACGAAGAGAAAAAGAAAAAAAGCGGCGCGAAAAAAAAAGCGGCGCGCTCAGGATTGAACCGGCGACTTGGTGGACAGACGGACAGACGGACGGCGACTCGGCCCAAGGCCTCCGCTAGACTACTTCGTAGTCGCTACGGCTACCGGCGGAAGATAATTAAGCTTGCGGAGCCTAGCACGCAAATTTAGACGGACGGACGGCGGATCGGCCTAAGGCCTCCGCTAGACTACTACGTAGTCGCTACGGCTACGGCTACCGGCGGAAGAAAATTAAGCTTGCGGAGCCTAGCACGCAAATTTAGCCGTACGCGCTATGCTATGCTACGCTATGCCGTACGCGCTATGCTATGCCGTACGCGCTGCCGTACGCGCTATGCTATGCCGTACGCGCTATGCTATGCTACACTATGCCGTACGCGCTATGCTATGCCGTACGCGCTATGCTATGCTACACTATGCCGTACGCGCTATGCTATGCCGTACGCGCTATGCTATGCCGTACGCGCTATGCTATGCCACGCTATGCCGTACGCGCTATGCTATGCCGTACGCGCTATGCTATGCTACGTTATGCCGTACGCGCTATGCTATGCTACGCTATGCCGTACGCGCTATGCTATGCCGTACACGCTATGCTATGCTATGCTACGCCGTACACGCTATGCTATGCTACGCTATGCCGTACGCGCTATGCTATGCCGTACGCGCTATGCTATGCCGGACGCGCTATGCTATGCTACGCTATGCTATGCTACGCTATGCCGTACGCGCTATGATATGCTACGCTATGCCGTACGCGCTATGCTATGCTACGCTATGCCGTACGCGCTATGCTATGCTACGCTATGCCGTACGCGCTATGCTATGCTACGCTATGCCGTACGCGCTATACTATGCCGTACGGCCGCGTTGGTCATGGNGTACATATTGCGATAGTGGTTTATATCGTATGGATTTG